ATAGATATTTAAAATATATTATATAATGAATGCATAATAATTGTTGTATTTAACAATTATAAGAGCTCGCACTTACATAGTATTTCTTTTCCCTGTCTTACGCATCGATCTAAGCACCTGACTCATTAACCCATTTGGTCGTCACGATGGCCCTATGAAGTGAGTGCTGTTGTGTTTCTTATTTTACGGATGAGGAAACTGAGACCCAGAGAGGTGAAGTCACTTGTCCCAGGTCACGCAGTGGCAGAGCCAGGATTCAAACCCAAGCAGTTTGGCTCTCCACAAATTCTAATTCAATGCTTAAGTGTGTCCTTATGTGTAGCTGGCCGTTGGGTGGTCTGACACCGAGCTCAGGGGCTGAGAATGTCTAAATCTAAATCACCAACCCAGGTGTCCATGGCGCCCATCTAGGCCGTCCCCGCCCCCCCAGCAGGCAGGGGGCCTGACTCACTGCGGAGTCCCCAGCCCCGCCCCCCATCGCCCGGATGAAGGACAGAATGGTTCAGGGAGGGCAGAGGCGGGGCAGGGCCTGTGCAATGGGGGCGGGGCCATCTGGGGGCGGAGCTACAGGGACGAAGGGCGTGGCCCGAGACAGAGGCTGCAGCCGCCACACCCACGTCCCACTCACCGAGGTTGGAGGGCTTCACGGTGTTGTAGAGGCTCTTGGGCGTCCTGGGGGCTATGCTGTCGGAACCCCCGAGCCCCGGGGTCAGGGAGCTGCTTCGGGCCCGGTCCGGGCGGGTCCCAGGCCCTCCCTGATGCCTCAGAATGTCCACCAGAGCCCTAAAGGTGGTAGAGAGACAGTCAGCGGCCTGGGGGCTGGGGGACGGGAGTGCGGGGGCGGGGCCAGGCCTCTTTCCCTTCCCCGTTCTCACCGTCGGGGGAATCGGTCCACTCAGCCTTGCTTCTCGCCTTTGGCAACGCCCCCTGGCCACGCCCCCCCAGTGTCACACTTTGGCCCATTTTCATGCCCCTTCCCCAATTCATTTGGACCCCACCCCTTCTGTGGTCCCTCCCATATCCTCCTCCCTGTGGGCCCTCCACACCCTGAATCTGGGGCCCTATTTCTGTTCCTGTTGCAGCCTTCCCCGTGGCACTAAGGGGTGCCCCATTCACCCTAGTATGAGGACCCCAAATCTTAGAGTCGCCCTTGACTCCCTTTTTTTTCCTTCGCGCCTTTCAGCAATGCCATGGATTCAACCTCCAAAGGACAGTCCGAAGAGGACCACTTCTCACGGCCTCTGCTGCCCCCAGCACCCTCTCTGACCTGCACCATCGCAGCGGCCTCCTCACTGGTCTGCCCACGTCCGCCCCTGGCCCTATGGTCCAGTCGTACACGCACAGCTCAGTGAGTTTTAAAAATTGTCAGAGGGCATCACCCTCGAGCTCAGGACCCTCGAGTGGCTCCCCATCACACTCAGAATAAACCCGGTCCTGCCTGCCTCTCCTCACCTCCTCCCGCCCACCGCACTCCAGCTGTACTGGCCCCTTTCCTGTCCTGCAAACAAGCCACCTGGGGGCTTTGCAGGTGCCGTTCCCTCGGCCCGGAATGTCGCTCCCACAGATATCTGCTTCTCTCTTCTTCAAGTCTCTGCTCTGAAAGGCCGTTTCTGACCACTTGATCAAAACCAGCACCCACTCCTCCAAAACTGTGCGCTGTTTTATCTTCTTCACAGCAACTAACCAGATCTAAAATTATATTGCATGTGCATATACGTACTGACTCCACCACTAACACGTAGTGAATACCTGCCATGTGCCAGGACTCTACATGAATCAACCCAGTTAATCTTCATTACAATCTGAATACATGCGGACTATTCGCTTCATTGTACAGACAGGAAACTGAGGCACAGAGAGGTTAAGCAAATTGTCCAGGGTCATACACAGCCTGCAGGCAGGGAACCTGGGTTTGGAAGCCTGGTTTATCGGGGCAGAGACCTTATTTTGTTCGCTGTGGTATCTCCAGCTTCTGGCCCACAGAAGTTGCTCGAGAAATATTTGTCCAATGAATGAGGGCCCGAGCTTCCCTGCTCCCGCCATCACTCCTCAACAGCCAGGTCGGTTCCGACGCATCTATCCTCAGGCCCTGCCCATCTTCCGCTGCTGCGAGTGGCTGCCACCTCGGCCTCTTGACCACGCCCCCATCACTGTAGCCCCGCCCTCCTCAGATGGCCCCACCTCCACTGTCCAGGTCCCGCCCCCAGGCTCCCGTCCTTCAAACTCGAGCGCACACCCACCTGGGCACGTTGATCTCACGGTGCGCCCTGGGCGCACGGGACGCCTTGCTGAAAGCCACTTTGGCGCCGACACCCACGGCCAGGGCAAAGCTGATGACCCCGCACACCACATAGGCCGTGCTGCCACCGGGGCCTTCGCCCCCGCGCCCACCGGGTCCCCCCGCCCGGCCCCCTTCCAGCCACCCGGCCTGGCCAGGCCCTGGCCCCCCGCCAGCACCCCCGGCGCCCCCGGCGCCCCCGGCCAGCGGCGGCGGCGTCGTGGCCCAGCGTGGCGTGTCGTAGTTGGAGCAGGAGGCCTGAGCCAGGCGCATGTGGCGGTGCTCGCAGCAGAAGCGGTAGTGGCAGGTGCCACAGCAGAAGCGGTAGGAGCCGGTGCTGCAGTTGAAGGTGGCGTCGTACTGGCCCATGACATCGTAGTAGCCATGGCAGAGCTCGGCGGGAGGAGGCGCCCGTGCCGCGGCACCCGTCCCGCCTGCGGAGCCGGTCCTGGTGCCGTTGGCGCCCGGGCCCGCCGCGCCCCCGCCGCCAGTCAGCGCCCCGGTGAGGCGCCGCAGGTGCGCCAGCAGGGCGGGCAGCGGGCCCGGGGGCTCGGCGCTCGTGGCGTTGGACGGGCGCGCCCCGGCCTGGCCCGAGGTGGCCGCCAGGAGTGCGAGGAGCAGGAGGGCCGGCATGGGGCGCGCAGGTCGGACCCGGCCGCCAGGCTGCAGAGGTGGGAGCGGGGGGCGGGAGAGAGATGGCCAGAGGGGGAGACGGGCAGGGGGGTGGGCAGAGAGGCTGAGGGAGGCGGGCCAGGGAAGGCAGGGGGACGGAGAGCGACGGCGAGGAGCGGGGCGCGTGGGCCAGAGGTGCGCCCCACGCGGCGGCGGGCGGCGCGGGAGAGCGGTGGAGGCGCGCCCGGACGCCGGAGGAGAGGAAAATGGCAATGTGCGGACGGGAACAGGACCAGACGGGTGATGAATGGGGGAAAGAGATTGGGAGGACCGACGAGGCATCAGGGGGTGTGCGGAAATCAGAGGGAAGGGCAGAAAGCAGAGACGCGTGACGGAAGGCGACGGAACCGGTGCGGGAGGGGCGGTGGGGCGGGGAAGTGGGGGCCGAGGAGGGCAGGAAGGGAGACAGATGAGGGGTGGGTGGGAGAAGGGAGAAAAGAAAGGGAGGGGGAGGAGGGGGGAGGAAGGGAGGGAGAGAGATTGAAGTTGAGAGTTTGGGCGTAGAGACCAGGCAGCGGGAAGAGGGGGGCGGCGCTGGGTTCCCAGCCTGCGCGCTGCTGACACGGGGGAAGAATCCCACTTTCGTGGGAGCCCGTCCTGCGCAGCATCCACGGGACGCCGGCAGCGTCCACATCCCCCCAGCTTGCGACAGGCACTGTCAAATGTCCCCCTGGTGGGACAGGCGCAATTGCCCCCGCCCCGTTGAGAACCACCGGCTTACACCATATGCTCCTCAGCCCCCCAGTGCCCGTGTCTCTCCTTTACTTAGGTCTAGTAACCGAGGGACCCCAGGCCTCTCTGTCACACACACACCCACCACACTCTCACGGCGTCAGGTCTGAAATGGCTCCCTCCGCAGCTGGCGGAGAGTGAAGCAGAGTGGTTCATCTCTCAGCTGCCTGACACAGACAGGCTTCTTACCTAAGCCCCCGGGCCTCAGTTTCCCCATCTGTAAAATGGGGTAAGGATGGTTAGCCTTATCACTGGTGGTCGGGAGAGCGAATATGTGTAAAGAGCCTAGAACGGTGCCTGGCATGTTGCAGGCGGAAGCGTTTGGTGCCGCTGCTACTATTTCAGAAGGGAGATACAGGGTGAGGAGGGCCGATGGAGAAGAGGTGTGGGAGTCAGGGGCCAGATGGGACAGGTCTTCCAGCTGCTTCTACGGCAAGTCCAGCCATGTCCCAGACACGCCCAGTAGACCCGATGGACACAGAAGGATGATGGCAGTGGGGAGGATGCCAGGGTCAGGGAGAGGGAGGTCTGAGCCCCCCAGGAGGAATGACCTAGTGGTTAAAGGCAGGCTCTGGGGTGACAGCCCTCACAGAGCCCCACTTTTCCCCTCTGCAAGATGATGATCCGAACAGCGCCTGCCCTGAAGGGGACTTCCGCTAAGCTTAGCCCAGGGCCCAGCAGTGCGGGACATAGATTCCTTCTGCAAACATTCACTCGATGAATGTCCACTGAGCGTCTTTGCTGGACTGAACGCTGTTGTGTGCGCTGAGGATGCAGCGGTGAGTGAACCCACAGGGTTCCTGCCTTTTGGGGGCTTTATGCTCTAGTGAGGGGAGAGTCAGGCAACAGGCACAAATGAATGTGATACGCGTTGAAGATGATTGTGAAGAAATATTGAGCAATTATGAAGGAAGCTGTGAAGAAATGAAAGCAACCTAAAGGGATGCGGGGATGGGATTAATTTGCTCAATATAATTCAGTATTATTTTTATTATTTGTCCCTTGTCATTTGTGTGTGTCTAGGGAACACACCACTGCCAACAAAATTGCTAGTAGTTGGGATGGAGGAGGCTTACGGGGGCCCCGAGGCTCCCCGAACCTCAGCTCACCCCCTCCTGCAGGGGCCTCAACCCTCCTTCTTGGCTCTAGCTTGGACCCCTCCCCTGAACTTGGGGTACAATACCCCAGTGCCTACTGGATGCCTCCACTTGGGTGCTTAATGGGCGTATTAGAAGTGGCTTTGGCCGGGCATGGTGTCTCACACCTGTAATCCTAGCACTCTGGGAGGCCAAGGCGGGAGGATCACCTGAGGTCAGGAGTTCGAGACCAGCCTGAGCAAGAGTGAGACCCCCCTGCCCCCCCCTCCGTCTGTACCAAAATAGAAAAAATTAGGGAGGTGTGGTGGCATGTGCCTGTAGTCCCAGCTACTCGGGAGGCTGAGGCAGGAGGATCGCTTGAGCCCAGGAGTTTGAGGTTGCTGTGAGCTCTGATGACACCGCTACACTCTACCCAAGGTGACAGAGTAAGACTCTGTCTCAAAAAAAAAAAAAAAAAAAAAAGAGAAGAAGAAGTAGCTTGGCCCACACTGTGGAAGAGAATTTGCAATTCCTTAAAAAGTTAAACAGAATCACCACATGACCCAGCAATTCCACTCCTGGGTATCTGTCCCAAAGAATTCAAAACATAGGTTCACACAAAACCTTACACATGAATGTTCGTAGCAGCATCTTGCACAATGGCCAAAAAGGGGAAACAACCGAAGTGTCCTTCACTTGGAATGGATAAACAAAACGTGGCACATCCATAAAAAGGAATATTATTCGGCCATAAAAGGAACAGAGCTCTGACACATGCTACAGCACGCACGAACCTGGAGGACATTACGTTCAGTGAACGAAGCCAGACGTAAAGATCACACAGTATATGATTTCACGTGTATGAAACGTCCGCAATAGTCAGATCCACACAGACAGAAAGCCGGTGGGGAACTGCTTGGCGCTGGCTGGAGGAGAAGAATGGGGAGTGACTGCTAATGGGTACTGCGCCTCCTTCTGGGGTGATGAGAATGTTCTGGAACTAGATAGTGGTGATGGTTGCACAACATAGTGAATATACTAAATGCCACTGAATTGTACACTTAAAAATGGCTAAATGGTTAAATTTTGTGTTAAAATTGTGTTTTTTGCCACAATTAAAAAAAACAACATAGATTAGTCAGATCCTGTCAACTGCTTCCCTAGTGAGACTGCTTTGGCTTCCTGTCACCCGGGAATAAATCGCAGCTCTGCGCCAGGAGCTCCTCCTTTCCACCCTTCCCTGTTTCCTTCATGCCTTTCCAGGTTCACGTCCAAGAGGTTCCCACCTTCCTGCCTTCGCACCTGCTGTTCCCTTCGTTGGGGACCTCCCCTTCCCACAGATCTTGGTCTGGTCCGGCCGCCTTTCTTCCTTCCTCCCGGGTGTCCCTCACATGTCATCCCAGCCACTCTCCCCTGCCGGATCTGTAACAGCAGCCCAGACACTCTGGTTTCCTCGCTCCTTTTGTATCTTTTTGTGGCTCTGATCTCTACCTGCCACATATATGTGTCCATTTTCCCCCACTCGGCTATAGACTCCATGAAGGCGGATGTTTTTGCCTGTATTGTTCACCATTCTTTCTACAGCACCCAGCTCCAGTGCCTGACACATAGTAGGTGCTCAATAAATATTTCGTGGATGAATGTTGAAAGAAATATGAGGTGGATTGTCTCTGTCTCTTTCTGTCTCACACACACATACACATCTCAGATGAGGACATCAAGTCAAGGTTTCAAGTGGTCCCATCATTTGCCTGAGCCCTATAGTGCCCAAGTAGTGGGGCTGGGTTTTGAACTCAGGCTTCTGAGTAATGCAACCTGTAGAACATGGATGCCTTTATCCCATACACAGAGATGTGGGTTGACACACACAGACACACCCCTTCTGGGAGTGGCACAATACACAGTGATAATGGATTCCTTCATTCATTGAGGGCTGCCATGTACAGTTGGGCAGGTTGTGCACTGCACAAGGAGGGTCTGGCTGAGAGGCTGAAATCCAGCTGCGCTCTCCTTCCCAAAGTATGCACTGGCAGGGCTGCATCCTGGAGTAGGGAGTGCCCTTCTCAAACTCACACAAAGGTGCCATCTGCCTGCCATACCACAGACATTAGGGAAGTGATTGGGCATGGGGAGGGGGCAGTGCGCCTTTGTCTCATCTGCACAAAGGCAGCTGTACGGGCCGGCAGCTCTCTCGCTCACTCCCCATTCTGTGCCAAGCCTCCAGCTGGGCTCCAGGGACATGATTTCTCCCTTTGCTCACAGTCTCACGGGCTCCTCCAACTGCACACACAAGCACACACCCTGGGAGACACAGCCCCAGGCCACTGACAACTCCAGCAGGAGGAGGAGGAGGAGGGAGAGCTAGAGCAGCGGTGCAACCCCCCCAAACCCAGCGACACACCCAAACACAACACGCGCACACAGGGCTTCTCTACCCCTCCTGATGCAGGGCAGCAGCTATAGGTGGGTGGAGCGAGGATGCATCTCTGCAGACACAGTGGCCGGTCCAGACACGGGGACTAGTTATTCCCTCCCTTACACTTCCCTTCCCTTACACACAGACACACAACAGAACTTGTACATACACAATGACACAGAGCACAGGACACTTAGTGCCTCAGACACACATGCAAGGACACCCAATGTCATCCTGGTGGCACACCTGTAGCCTCCTCCCCACACTGAGACATGCATACACACAACTCCACACGGACACACAACCATGGATTTCTGCTCATTTTGACCCACGGTACATAAGGCTGAGACGTGACGACACACTGGACCACACGCAGCTCCAGAACATGACCAGGGACCTGCCCAGCCCAGTGACACGTGGACATGCACCTGCACATATCACAGCCATGCAACCTCATGGGTGCACACACACACATGTGCAAACACACCCTCCCCCAGTGGCATGTGACACCCTCTACCCTGCAGCCACACACACGCCCACTCCTGCCCCCACCTGGCTCTCACCCACACACACAGCACTTTCCTCCGCCACAGCCGGGAGGAATGGGGACCCGGAACTCCAGTCTCCCCATTGCTGCCCCTTGCATGCTCTGCTCTGTCCCAGCTCAGGACCTCAGAGACACAGAGGTGGGGACAGTCAGGAACAGCCTGGGGAGGGGGCCCTGAGCAGGGCCATATTGTTTCTGGGCTCCTGGAGAAGCCCGCCACCCATGCCTATGCCCCTGCACACTCCGCCCTCCTCTGTCCCTGCCAGCCCTGCCAGCTGGGGGTGGGGGGCAGGGCTGGGATGGCAGGAGTGGGGGTGGGCTGGGTGCTGTCAGGGCGAGTATTGGAGATGGGGCAGGACTTGGGGAGAGGAACAGGAAGAGAGAGCATGGGGAGGCGGGGACATGTAGGGGGTGCCCAGAGACCCAGAGAAAGGGACAGAGATACTGAAGGGGAAACAGAGGCCCAGGGAGAGGGGGACAGAGAACCAGAGGAGGGTGGGGGGAGGGGAATAGATACCCAAAGAGAGGACTGAGACCCAGCGAAAGGGGGAGGTAAAGAGGCTGGGGGTGGGGGACAAAGACAGAGAGACAGACCTAGAGAGGAGACAGAAACCCACAGAAGGAGGGTGCAGGAGGGGGTGGGTGGTGGTGGGAGAGAGACCTGGAGAGAGCCAAGCAGGGCCACAGAGGGGGACAGTGAGGGGCTTGGAGGCAAATAGAGGAGGTGGGCAGAGACCTAGAGACCTGAGGTTCAGAGCCCGGCGAGGGAGAGGGTGCCAGAGAAGGGAGGTCGTGACCTATGGAGAGGGCAGCAGCCCAGGAAAAGTCAGGCCTCTGCCATCTCCGGGAGCCGGAGCCAGCCGCGGGGCCAGGGCGGGGCCAGGGCGCAGCGGTGGGAGGGGAGGCTGCGGGGTCCCAGGGCGAAGGGAGGGGCTCCGAGGAGCGTCTGAGGTTGCCAGGTCGGTTTGGGGCGGGGATGTGGGTTCAGGAGGAGGCGGGCCGGGCAGGTGGAGGAGAGTGGAGGGCGGAGGAGAGGGCTCCGGGTGGAGGGCGGGGGGACCCCAGTTCCGAGCCTCGGGCCGCCAGGGCGGGAGATCCTAGGAGGCTGCGAGGGGCGCAGTCCCTTGCTTGCCGCGGGAAGGCGGGGACGGCAGGGACCGAACCAGGGACACCAGACCCGGTCTTTGCGCCCCCGCCCGGTCCCTGCGCCTTCCCGTCTCACGTGTCTCTGTCTCCGGGTGTCTCTGCGTCTCCGGGTCCCAGGGCGTCCCTGTCACTCCCTACTCGAGGGACAGCCGCCTCCCTCCGTCCCCTCCATGGGCCACTCGCCCGTCTCTGTCTCTAGCGGGATCTGCCCTTGGGTCACGGTCTCTCTCAGACAGTGTCTCTCTTTGAGTCACTGCTACTGGCGGGGCTTCTGTCTCTGTCCGTCCCAGCGTCTGTGTCTCAGCTGTCCCCCTTCCAGGCCTCCATTTCCCTCCTTCCCCGCTCGGTCTCTGCCTCTACATCCCTTCTCCGTCTGCACCCTCGGTCTCCACGTCTCCACTGTCTCTGCCTCCCTGGCTCCACCTCTCTGTCCTGGGTTTGCTGTCTATGGATCACTGTCCCTCTGAGCGTCTCTGTGCCCCCCCTCGCCCCACCCCGGACCCCTGGACTTCCGGACCCCTGAGCCCTCTCCCTGGTCCCCTCACTCTCACCCAGGCCGGGCTGGGGTTGGGGGCGCTGCGGCGGGAGCTGTGTGTTCCCAGCGCAAAATAGACTCCCGTTGCCATGGCGACGCGAGCGGGGCCTCCGAGACGCGAAGCCTCGGGCTGGGGGGTGAGGAGCGGGGACACCTGGATCCGGAAGGCGGGGGCCGGGGGCGCCGACGCCCGGGCCCAGGGGCTCCTCCTCGGTCCCTGGGGAGAGGAGGTGCTGGGGGCTCTGACGCCGGGGTCCCGGGACAGGGCCTGCTGGGAGGGGTCTGGGCTCCCAGGGGCTGCGGTGGGGGACGGGCTGGCTGAGAGCTCTGACGCCTGTGTCCCTGGAGGACTCAGGTTGCCTTCTTAGGTCCCCAAGGTTGGGGAGGAGGTAATGGCTGCGAATCTTGGGGAGGGAGGGGGCTCTCGCTGGGGGGGTCTGTAGAGTTCCAACTCCCAGATCTCCAAGGGGGCTGCAGAATTCTGGGAGCCCCCATGTGGATCCCCAAACTCCTGCGTCTGAGCGCAGGGACCGCTAGCCTGAAGCTGTCTGTCCGTCCTTCCATCCATTCATCCATCCAGTCACATGCCGGTCTCTCCCTTCCTCCCCATCCCCATGTCCCCCATGCCTCAGTTTCCCTCTCCGCACCGGGGTGCGGTCATGCTCACCTCGCGTTCCGGATGCGGGACCCTTGGGGAGTCGGGGGCAGCGGCGCGTGGGGGGCAGCTGGGGGCGGCCGAGCGAGCGCGTGTCTGCCGGCCGACAGGGCTGGGCGTGCGCGCGCTGGGGGCGGCCGGCAGCGTGTTGGCGACCCCGGGGCCGGCGGCTCGCTTCCGTGCAGACGCGCGCCGGCTCCGCGCAGATGTGGCGACGGCCAGCCCTCGCCGCTGCCTCGCGCCGGCTTCGCGCGGAGGCCCCTCCCCCTCCCCACCTGCTGGGGACCCTGCTTCCTCCCGCCTGCAGCCCCCAGTCGCCCCCGGGACACCCCCCCAAACCCAAGAATGGTTCGGTCCACAGTCACATCAATGTTTATTCCGCAAGTCCGTGTCCCACAGTCTGTGACACTCCTTCCCCCTCCCCTTCCCGCCTCGTGAAGTGGCCCGGGGGCTGAGCCCCGCCTTCATCTCCGCTAAGCCAACTCCCGCCCAGCTTCCAGGAGTCTCATTTGCATTTCCGGGAGCAGCCGCCCAATGGGAACGTGGCATCGCGCCTCCCCTCCCGAGAGGGCGGCACTCCTGGCGGACTACACCACTCTTGGGATCCGGGGACGGGGGTCCGGGGATAGGTGGTCTTTCCTCAAGAAGGCGGGAGTTCAGTGGAAGAGGGGGTTCTGGCCTTGGAAGAGGCCCAGCAGCCCGCTGTCTGGGGCAGGCTCCTTGATGATCTTCATGATCTGCAGGGGTAGGGAGTGGGTGGGTTAGGAAGAGTCAAGTGTCCCCATCTCCATGATGACAGATCTAAGGGACACTTCCCCACCTTCATCTCCACGTTCCTCTTGGCAGCAGCTGACCAAGCCAGCCACTCCCTCGTCTCAGAAGTTTTCCTAGGGCTTCCCTTCCATCACACATGCCTCGTTTAGCTCCTAACTGCGCCATCTTGGTCTGTCTTGCTGGCTTGGGCCACTAAGGGTGAATGGCTCTGTCCTGGGGCTTCTTGTCAATATCTTCCTCTTCCTAAGTAACCTCATCTTTCCCATCCCTCTTCTGGACCCCCAACTACCACATCCAGCCTAGACTTTGCCCCTGAACTCCAGGCTGATTTATCCAACTGCCTCTTATGTAGACGTGAGCAACCAACCACATTCCATCCATCGGTAGGTCTCGCCAAGTTTATCTCCAGAAAATAAGAAAAAATAAAGAAAAGATAAACAAGGACAGTAAAAACCAAAGCCTGCATCCCCACTGCCTTCATCCTGGTCACACCCCATCACTGCTTGCCTGGATGCCCACAGCAGCTCCTCACTAGTCTCCCTCCGCCCTCCACGCCACCCTCCCTAATCTACTGGCCACACACCGCCGGAGAGAGCTTGTGAGCTGCTGAGCCCGCGAGGCCAGCTCCTCCGCACAAACCCCAATGGCCGCGAACTGCTGCAATCCCAAATCTTTGCGGAGAGGGGGCTCTGGTTCCTGTGCCGCGCAATGCTCACCACGCCCTGTTACGAGTCCTTGAACAAGCAAGTGCAGTCCCACCTCCCCCGGGAGCGGTCTGCGAATGTGGCTGCTCCTCCCCTCCAGGCCCGGGCTCCAGGGCCACCCCATCATTCTGGCTTCATCATTCCCTTCCCAGCTCCAGGTCACAATGTGTGACTGAACACGGACCGGCTTCTTATCTCTGCACCCCGTGATGCAGACTCCAGGAGGCAACCCTTCCTGTTGCCACGGTGGCTGCAGTAGGTGCTTGATGAACACCCCACAGAACTGAGCTAGGAGGGCAAGGGGCAGACCTTGCAGGACCCAGGACTGTCACGTTCTGGCGTTTTCCCATCGTCCTGAGAGCCAAGAGTTGGAAGGGGAGGCCTAGTACCCAGGCAGACCCCAGTACTAGGAAGGCCACTCTGGAGGTGGGTGTGAAGGCTGAGAAACTGGAGTAGGGGGGACAGGGCCTGACAGGGCAGAGGCTGAGGGGATGGAGAGTGAGGCAGGGATGTCGGGGGTCCAGGGGCTTCTACCTGTAGGGTCTCTGCTGGACTGTCCTCCCCCAGGGCCACCTGGCTCCCTCCCTCCCTCCCTCACTTCATTCTAAAACCACCTACTCCAGGAAGCCTCCCAGACCACCCAGTACAAGCCCCTCCTCTGTACCCTGACACTCCCAGGATTGCCTCCCTGTTTTCTTTCCCTACAGTCCTCAGGGCCATCTGCCGGCTCCTCTCACGGATTTCTGGCAGAGCTGGGCAGTCTCCCATGCAAGAACTTAGCTCCCCCTGGAGGCGGCAGCCTGCCTGCGCCCCGAGCCCAAAGACTAGACATCAGTGGGATGCACCGCGTGGGTGGGTGGCAGGGGGGTGGGCATTACCTCCTCGAACTGGGGGTGGGCGGCATCTCCCAGGAGCTGCAGAATGAGCCCTTCGCTGGTGGAGAGGAAGGCACCGCTCTGCCGCATTCGGGTCAGCGCCATCAGCCGGTCCACCTGGCTGCAAGCAGGAGGGAGGAAAGAGAGATGTGGACGCCTCACTGGGACACTCGGACACTTTGGCACACCTGGCAGGAATGCTGCCCTGTGGTCATTCCCGGGTGCCCCTAGTCACCCCCAACCTGCACTCACCCCTGGGGCCCTCTCACCTGCGTGAGGAGCAGGCGTCCACCACCACGTGGACCTGCAGCCCCCGGTCCAGGAGGTCCAGGGCTGTGTTCTGGGGACAGAGAGAGGTCAGGCCCAACCCCAGACAAGAACAGGGGTAATGAGTGAGAGACTGGGGATCCTGGGTCAGAATTAGGGACCCAGAATGGGGATGAGGGGGGCTCGGATCAGAGTGGGGGCCCCCCAGGTCAGGATGGGGTCTTAGGATGGGACCCACTAGTAAGGATGAAGGTCCCGGGTCAGGATGGGGGCTCTGCGGGGAGGCAGAGGGTTCTGGGTGAGGGAAGGATGTTTTATCTAGGATGGGGATCCCAGGTGAGAATGGGGATCCCATCCCAGAGGTCAGGCAGGATCTCACCAAAATGCAGGCCTGTGTCTCAATGCCGCAGAGGAGCACAGAGCGCAGCTGAGGCCGGCTGTCCAGCTCGCGCTGCAGGGCAGGCACCATGCTGAAGCAGGTCTTGGCCAGTGGCTGCAGGCCCTCAGCCCCCAGCTCAGGCACTGTGGGGCCCAGGCCTTCCGGGTACTGCTCTGTCAGCACGGCTGGCACCTCCAGCAGCCGGGCCGCCTGTGCTAGGGAAAGGGAGGAGAGGCCAGGGTCTGAGGGAGTAGGGACAGGGGATGGGACCCCTGGGTCTGAGGGAGGAGGGGCTGGGGGGACCCCTGGGTCCCAGGGCAGAGGGTCTGGCATCATACCCTGAGCATGCGAGCGGCCACTGAGACGATCTGCGGGAAGTAGGCAATGTGGTGGCGGAACTTCTCCTGCATGTCGCACAGGAACAGGATGGACGATCCTGGGAAGATTCGGCCCAGGCTGGGCCTGGCAGCTGCCATGTCCTGGGGGTGGGCAGAGGGACGGGGGGCGGGTCAGGCCAGAGAGGGGGTTCTCTCAGGGTGTCCAGTGTCCATGAGCTCAGAGCCTTGTGGGCTCCCGGCCACTTTGCATACCTTCTTCCCACCTCCAGGTCTCTGCGTCTGCTGTTCCCTGGGCCTAGGAACATGCTTCTTTGTTATTTCTGTCCCAGTCCGTGGTGAGGTCCCTTCCCTGGGAAGCCTTCTGGGCCATGTCCACATGGGGCTCCCAGTGTCACCCCCCAGCCCCAGCCCTCTCCTTCCTGGAGACTGCCCAGCATCAAGGAGTACTTCTGTGAACCCAGTCGCCATGTGGCCCTGTGGGGGGCTCTGTCCTTCTGTGTGGTGTGCCCAGCCCACTGCCCAGGGTCTCCTGAATGAGGGTCCAGCTCTGATCCTCACCCCACCCCAAGAAGAAACTGAGGCCCAAGCAGTGAAGGGACCTGCTCAAGGGCTCAGAGCCAACACTGTGGAGCCCAGATGTCATGCTGGGCTCTGCCACCTCCCTCTTCCACGGCCTGCGGGAGCTGCAGGACTTTGAGATTCTTCAAGTCCGACGTGGCCAGCGTGGCCACTGACTGCTCTCTGAAGCTCAGTTTACCCATGTGGAAAACACATGCTAGCTGAACCCCCTCCCAGGTCTTGGAAAGTAAGCATGGTATCTCATCCAATGGAGTGTCATTCAGCCCCAGAAAGGAACAAAGCACTGGCACATTCTGTGACATGAGGAACCCCATGGTTCATCATGGTGCTCAGGGAGAGGCCAGACACAAAAGGCCACGTAGTGTAGGATTCCATTTGTATGAAACGTCCAGAACAGGCAAAACCACAGAGACAGAAAGTGGATTGGCGGCTGCCAGGGGCTGAGGAAGGAGGAATTCGGGGTGGCTGCCAATGGGCATACGGTTTCTGTCTGGGGTGATGAAAATGCTCTGGAACTAGACAGTACTGATGGCTGCACAACACCATGAATGTACCAAGTGCCACTTAACGGCGCACTTTAAAACGGTTAAAAAGGGCTGGGTGAGGTGGCACACACCTGCAATCCCAGCACTCTAGGAGGCCAAGGCAAGGGGGGACTGCCTGAGGCCAGGAGCTGGAGACCAGCCTGGGCAACACAGTGAGACCTTGGAAAAAAAAAAAGCTGGGCGTGGTGGTGAGATTGCTTGAGTCCAGGAGTTCAAGGCTGCAGTGAGCTATGATGGTGTAACAGCATGAAAACATAACAAAAAAACGCTCAAAGGGTAAGTTTTAGGTATGTGTCTTACCGCAATAAAAAGACAGAAAAAGAACAAGAAAGGAACTGGCTGGTGAGGCCACTTGGCCAGCAATTCTTTTACACAGGAGGAAGCTGAGATCCAGAGGGACCCCTAAGCTACTCAAGGCCCCACAGCGACCCAGGACACACGAGTGGCATGTCCCAGCTTGTGTCCCTGGGAGGCTCGAGTTTCTGGGTCCCCAAGTTATTGTATAACTAGGGGTCCTGACTGGGCTTTTGTCTGCAGCTCTGTCTCCCTCTGCCTCTGTCTGTGCTCACTCATTCACTCGTTAATTCATTCTGGAAACGGAGACCCTGGGGGGCCCAGCGAAGCCTGAAGCTGAGGCAGGTGGCACTAAAGGGTGCACTGCTCTTTTGAAAGCTGGTGGTGAGTGCACTGCTGTTTATTATTATTTTTAAAATGCAATCCAGCAGCTATCATAGAAAATGTTTTCTGTGTGTACTGTACCTCAAAATTTAATACCAGTAGATGGTTAAAATAGTAAATTTTATCTCAATAAAAAAAAGATTGAATGGAAACTCCCTCTAAAAACAAAACCACAGTGAATTAATTAATCACATAATTACAACTGTGATAAGTGCCAGATTTCGAGGGAGCTGGATGTATCTTGGCAGTTCTGCAAAGTTCTCCCCAAGGAAGTGAAGAAAGAAAAATGATCTTTGTGAAAACACAAAGCTGACTCTGCTACTCCCCAGTCTCAAATGTCACTCCCAGTCCCCCGTGGCTTCTCTCTGTCCTCAGGACTAAGATGCATCCCCCTGTCCCAGGCTCTGGGGACCCTCTAGCCTCAGCCCATCCCACCATGTCCCACCCCAGGAATTTCCTGGGCTGGTTCCTCCTCCTAGGCTCTGTGCTCCCACTGACCTGCTAACTCCTCCCCTGAGCACAAGGCCAGACCTGGGGAAACTCTGGGGGCACCCAGGCCCCAAGGGATGGTTCTGAGGGAGGGAGGAGCCGCAGAGCTGACAGGGGGGTTGCAAGGGTGTGGGAGGCCTCTCTGCTGAGGGCAGTGGGGAGCCACAGAGGGGCTGGTCTAGGGCCCAAATGGCTGAAAACCTGTGGCATGTGTCTGTAGCCAGGGGAGCTCCCTTTTGGCTTGGTTAGAGTGTAACAACTCCCAGGGAGAGCTGTGAGGCCACATTTCTCAAAATTACAGATACACAAACCCTCTGACCCAGAAAACATGCTCCTAAATATTTCTCCTGCACATATTCCTGTGAATGACACAAGGGTATTCATTGCAGGACCCTGGCAGAGCAAAGGAGCCGAAATAAATCTCAATGTCCATGGTTAGGATACTGGTTACATAAATCACGGTATAGCCATACTCTGGAATTCCTTGCAGCCAGAAAAAATTACCAGAAATCTCTTTTAAGTAATAGTATGGAACCATGTTCACAAGAAGTTAAGTGAAAAAGCAGCAGAACAGCGTGTATGAAATGCTCCCATTTGTGCCAAAAAAAAAGGAAGGAAAAAGTGTGTATTGCTTATATCTATATCTGCTATCTCTGGCAAACACGCCAAGAACGGAGACTCCAGTGGGTGAACTAGATTGCTGGGGAACAGAGTGTGAAGCAGATGATTTTCACTGTGTCCTCTGTATGTGTGCTACGCTTCCATAAAAGGTTTTCAACACAGAAGATACAATGCAGAGGCCCCCATAGCCCCAGGTGGGGCTGGCGCCGAGGCAGAGTCCAGAGAGGAGGCTGGGACAGGGTCCCACCGGGACAGGGGAGACAGACGGGTGGCGGGGCAGGGCAGAGAAACTTGGGGGGCAGGGGGGTCGGAGGTAAGGGGAGGAGGACACCCCTCAGGCTTCTGGTGCAGTGAGGGGCATGACCTGAAGACTGGGGAACCTGGGGAAGGAACTAGTTTTGCGGAGAACATGAAAAACTCAAGCGAGTGTGTGTGTGTGTGTGTGTGTATGTATGTGTGTGTGTTGGGGGGGAAAAGGGTGTGTGTATGAGATGTGGAGGGAAGTCTGGGCTGGAGACCGGTTTGGGGGCATCACAGGGAGTGAAGAGAAGGTTCGGCCCTGGGTGGAGGGTGCCCAAGGCCAAAGGAGGCGTGGCTGGAGGTGGGCGGCAACCTGGGGAAGGAGCTGTAGGACTGGTTATTTCTCCACCTGGCCTCGGGGGACCGAGACCTGGAGCCCGGACTTTCTGGCTGTGTGACCTTGTGCAACTCGGTCTCTGTCTGAGCCTGTTTCCTCCTCAGAGAAATGGAGATTAAACCCACTCACCTCGCAGGGTTGATACGATACAGAGGTGGTGGGCGCGCTCCGGGGAGGGTTCAAGTCCCTGGCCAGCCAATTCTGGCGCGGGATCACCAGTTCTGGTGATCTTGGCCCAGGACGCCTGGGCAGAGCCTCAGTTTCCCCATTTGCAAGGCGAGAAGGTCGGTCTCCAAGCAGCGTGGGTAGCAACAGGAACTTACCCGGAAGTGCCAGGTTCGAGCCCAGGCCGGCGCCTCCGCAGGTGGGGCCTGGGGGACACTCACCTCTTGGCACTCGGACTTCCTCCGCTTAGGTCCTCTCGCCGGGTTCCCAGGCAGGGTCACCGTTTCGCTCTATAGCGGCACGTGGCCCGTCCCTGGCACCGTCCGCGTCCCGCCCACCCGGGACAAGCCACCCAATCGATGCTAGCCCAGCTCTGAGCCCCGTTTCCTTCCGGCCAATCCACACACGCCGCTGTCTTTGCGCCCCACCACCACCCCGCGCATCCGGGTCCCGCCTACCCGGGCCGAGAAGCCCAATCGGTGCTCATGAATTATGCCCCGCCCCCCATTCAACCAATCCGCACAGTCCGCTGTTTCCCTTGGTGGAGGTACCGCAGCCGGCCAGCTCTGAGAGCATGATTGGCCCGCAACGGCGCATCAGGGGCGGGGAGGCAGCCTGTGCGGCCAATGGAGAGCCATGGAGGGTCTGAGTGGCGGGCTACGGGACGGAGCGGCGCGGGGGTCGTGGAGGCCTCACATTCTAGCTGAAAAAACTGGGTCTCCGCTGGCGCGGTGGTGCGGACCAGATCGCTGAGGCCCAGGGAGACAGCGAGAGTCCGTGCCCAGAGCAGAGGCAGGCCTGGGGTTCGAACCCTGGCCCTTTTGTCAAGAGTCAGAGGCTTACCGAGACACCCAGGCCCCTGCCAGGAAAGGGTTAAGAGAGCGATTAAGTGAGAATTTGACGCCCCCTCGGTTTCCCGTCCGTACAGCTTTTGCCTGCTCAGGTGATGTTTGTACCTCTGCGCTTGGAAATGGGGCTTGAAATAGAATTTCCCAGCTGTCTTGGAATAAAATCCAAACTCCTCCCAATTCATGGTCTGCCTTTGTGGACCCCTCAGACCTCACCTCTTACCACTCTCCCCCTGCTCACTCCACTGCAGCCGCCCCGGCCTCCCTTGCTGTTCCCCGACGTCCCACCTCGGGCTTCTGCGCGTGACACTTCAGCTGCCCGCAGTCCCCGCTCTTCCCATGGCCGCTGCTCCTGGCATTCAAGGCCTTCCCTGACCACCCGATGTCAAGTAGCCACTGGATCAGCCCACTGTCTTATTTTCTTCACAGCACTAATTCCTATGTGAAATTCAAAATTTATCTTGCTTTTTGAAAAATGTATGGGTGTACTCATTTATTGTCAACCCTCACCCCCTACCCCCAACACACACGCACACACAAAAGTGAGTTCTGTAAGAGCAGGAATCTTGCCTGCCTTGTTCACTGCTGAATCCTCAACCCCTAGACCTAGGCCTGGCCAACAGTGAGTGCTCAATAAATCTTTGGGAATAAATCAGTCGAGATCAGACATTAAGCAGGAATAGGCCAGGAAGAGGGACAGACAGGTGCTGGACTGGGCTGGGAAGAAGGAAGGGAGAAGTACGTGGGGACTTCCGGGGAGGGGGCTGGAGAGCCATCATGGAGGGGCCTCTGGTCTGTCTGGAGCCTGGGCTGGGTTGTGGTTGAGCGTCACAGGGAGTAGGGCCCCCAGCCCTCAAGGATCCCCTGAGAATCCCAGGCACAGGGCACATCCTGCCTGTCCCCCCAGCCCCAGTCCTGAGCCAGGAGCCCTGCCCCTCCCCCCAGGGCAGGCTGGGGAGGGGGCAGGGGATGGCAGAAATGTGGGGCCTGCCTCAGGTCCGGCTGGTCCGGAGAGAGATAGGACAGATCTGATGTCAGCAGGGGTGCACCAGTGGTCAGAGGACACGAGGAGGGGTAAGATGGCATTGGGGAACACTCTGGGGTAAGCGCAATGTCATCAAAGAGGTTGAGGGTGGAGGCATCCAGGGCAGCAAGGCTCAGGCTGGCACTGGCATGGGGTGCCTCGATGGGGGCCACAGCGCAGGCCACCCCCAGGAAGGGGGATGGTGGTGGCAGGGGCGGCTTCTGCAGTGGTGGTCTCTGGGGAGGTGCCTCCTGGGACAGGATGGACAGGGCCAGGCGCTGGGTGGCGGCCTCGATCTTGGTGAACTGCCTGCAAGACAGACATTAGCTGGATGACCACAAAGGACTCCTCTCCTGTCTGCCATCCCAGGAGAGGATTGTCCCTTCTCTCCCTCCCGATCTTTCTTCTTTACGCTGATCTCCCTTCCCCCAGCTCCATTTTCTTGAGTTTGACAATTCAGCCAGTCTTTCTGACCCCATTGATAGGGAAGCTCTGAACAGTTGCTGAGGTTGCGCACTGTGCAGGCAGCACACCAAGCCCGGCTCTAGGCATGTTTTTGACATTTTAGATTTATTAGGACCATGTTCCAACATACAAAAGTAAAAAATGTCTTAAGGAAGGGGTGCCTTTTAAAAAATAGTCACATAAAGGTGCACTATGGGCTAATGGTGGACCTATGATATATTGATGCCCTGTGGATTCTACTTTTTTTTTTTTTTGAGACAGAGTCTCACTCTGTTGCCCAGGCTAGAGTGCCGTGGCATCATCCTAGCTCACAGCAACCTCAAACTCCTGGCTCAAGCGATCCTACTGCCTGAGCCTCCCAGGTAGCTGGGACTACAGGCATGCGCCACCATGCCCGGCTAATTTTTTCTATATATTTTTAGATGTCCGATTAATTTCTTTCTATTTTTAGTAGAGACGGGGTCTCGCTCTTGCTCAGGCTGGTTTTGAACTCCTGAGCTCAAACAATCCGCCCGCCTCGGCCTCGCAGAGTGCTAGGATTGGATTCTACTTTTGAAACAGCCCTTGACTCTGCCCACCTTCAGCGTCTCCACCAACCCTTAGTTGGAATGTCCAGCACCCCCCACCTGGATGACTGCAATAACCACCACGCTGGTCTCCCCACTAGCATTCCTACCCCCTCAATAACAATACGGATAGATCCCACAAACTGGTGTGGGCTGAACTGTGTCCCACCCCCATCATATGTTAGGACATCATGTGTTGATGTCCTACCCCCATCCCCCATACCTAAGAGTGTGGCTGTATTTGGACATGGGGTCTTTAGAGAGGAGATGAAGTCGAAATGAGGTCTTTAGGGTGGGCCCTAAGCCAGTCTGACTGGTGTCCTTATAAGAAGAGGAAATTAGGACACAGGCGCACACACAGAAGGACAGCCATGTAAGGACACAGGGAGAAGACGGCCATCTGCAAGCCGAAGAGGGAGGCCTCAGAAGCAACCAACCCTGCTGACACTTTGATCTTCAACTTCCAGCTCCAGAACGCTCTGTTGTGTAAGCCGCGCAGTGGAACTTGGCTGCTGCAGCCCCAGCAAACTCACGCACAGACCGAAGGCTGATCGACAGCGGAAGCGGTGCCACTCACACGTAGTGGCTGCGTGACTCCGTTTATTTAAAGTTCAAAAACAGGCTAAACCGATCTATGGGGAGAGAAATCAGGATGGTGGTTGATGGGAAGGAGCTACCAGGAGGGCCTCTGGGGACAAGAAATGCTCTGATCTGGATGTGAGTGTTAGTTACACTAAGGGGTTCCCTTTGGGAAAATTCATCGAGCTCTACATTGACGATAGTTTTTTTTCTTTTCTCCCTTTTAAAGGTCAAATACACTGATGAAGTGTATGTATTTTTTTTCTGTATGTTCGTTAAACATCCATGAAAAGGTGTATTTAAAAATATATCTAATATGGCTGGGCGCGGTGGCTCATGCCTATAATCCTAGCACTCTGGGAGGCCGAGGCGGACGGATTGTTTGAGCTCAGGAGTTCAAGACCAGCCTGAGCAAGAGCGAGACCCCATCTCTACTAAAAAATAGAAAGAAATTAGCTGGACAATTAAAAAT